CCCCAAAACCCCAAAACCCCAAAACCCCAAAACCCCTTACAAATTTTAATAAATTGAAAATAAAATATAGGGAACCTAGAATCTTTCTGATGATCTAAAAGACCGTATCTGTGATCAGAGATCGAGCATTTTCATGCTGTCTTGCTCCCTTAAGTTTTGGAGTCTTGCATATCTCTTGCTAACAGATTCTATAGCAAGTAGAATTAAATATCTCTCCAAGTAGCTTACTTCGAGTCGGTCTTTTTAGATTCCTTTTATTAACTGCTGAAAATGGCAATTTTTCGAAGTCACTGATCTTTGGAACATCTTTATTAAGATCTCCTTGCGATACATCACTCAGAGTCGGCTCTATTGATTTATCAGTCTTAGAATAAATAGTTGAAAATTCCTCTGTAGAATTGTTGTATGGATTTTTACTTTGGTTAAGATTAATTCCAAAATCATTGATAATTTTCTTGCCTATTAAAATTAATTTATCCAAGTATAAAAACCTACGATTTTCCTTAGCATCAACATCTGCAAAGATTAGAGTCTTATTGGCTTCAAATCTATTCAGGATATTTTGAACTTCCGGAGCCTGATCAACCTTGTGTTGCTTCATTCATCATCCATGAGTCGGAGTGCTCCTAATGATGCTAAACTTATCTTGTTGTAGGCCTCATCATTTATAAATTCCCTTATTAACATCACTGTCAGAGCAAAATTTTTGTGGATGGTATCTGCACTGGTCGTAATCATAGAGCCTGAATGCTTGGTTTCATTCGGTGCATCTGAGAAGTATTCAGAATGCCCAGACTCTGTAATATATGGTCTTCCAATCACTTTCTTTATTTTCTAACTCTGGATGCGAAGTCATTCAGATCCCATTTAGAGAGTGGCTTATGAGGAGGGATCAATTCCCCATAAACATTTATGTAATGATGACTATTATGGCACGGGGTGAGGTCCAAGCCTACATCTGTGTACATTTTGTCTCAATATTTGCATCTTCTAAGAATATTGTCTTTACTGTTAAAATCATAGTTCCTATCAGTAAGCTTGGCGTACGAGTAATTCAAGCCCAAGTGTAATGTTTCCAACTTGTATTTATAGATCTTGTTGATAAACCCTGTGCCCTTTCTGTACTGAATACTATCAAGCTTCTTAATAGGGATCAGTCTAGAGATCTTCTTCATCAAGTGGGGCCGAAGGTATGTGCTACAGCTCGTCTTGTCAACAACTCTTTGAAGGTTAATTTCATATGTAGTCTAATGCTTCTTTAGTAATTTTAGGAATCATCAATGAATCTGATGATATCAAGATTGGTATAACCTCTTCTGGGTTAAAATAGACAGGCGTCTGCTTGTTTCGAAGATACCCGAGGATCCACCTGAAGATAGTTGGAGATCACTGGATAGTGATATCTAAATCGTCTAGTATCATTAGTCTCTTCTGTGTATTATTTACACTTCTCCTTCTCAAAATATTTATGAAAGTAGAGCATGTTGTCCATAAGAAATTGTTTATCAACCTGAAAATCTTTCTTAACTTCTGAGTGATAATCCTTTACATGAATCGTAACATCTTTCTTTATCTCAGCTTGACTAAATGATAAGCCAGCTGTCTCATCTGTAAGTTCAGAGTTTCTTTTGGATTTGATTATTTTTGGTGAATTAAGCTGAGATCTCTTCTCAAGTCTTCTTCTCCAACTTCTATTCTTGTCGGGTGAAAATTCTGAGTTTATTTGTACATTTCTCTTTATAAGCCCAAGTGCCTTTTCTTCAACAATTCGAGTATGTCGATATTTTCTAGATCCAAGCTTGGCAAGGTTAAATCGAAATCGAGTATCAAAGAAACTAAATTCTTTATTCCTTCTATGATGCAATTCGTTAAGCTCTTTGCCGGGAGTTTTCCCAGGACTCACAGACTTCAAAGAGGTAGCATAATGAATCTTGGGGACTCCACAGTTAACTTGCTCTTGAGGAAATAGACTCTCTCCGTCCATTACTCTCATCTTGAGATTATTTAGAGGCAGTACATTTGCCTTATTCTTAAAGGTTGAATCTCTAGTCCTTGAGTTACTTAAAATCTTCATATTCCTTGTATAATGAAGCTTGGTAAGTTTCTTTTCCTTCTCAGGAGTTTTTATTATCGATCGAATTAAGTTCTATATAACAGTTATCTAACACCCTCAATGTTTCTGAAAGTTACCATCTTTTTCTTAAAAATATCTTTCCTTCTTTGCAGATCTCTGATGGTTGTGAGCTTTGGAATCAAAGAAAGGGTTGAGTTTTGATACTTTAGTAATGACTTTAGGAGAATTAGGCCCCATCATTGTTGATATATAATAACAAATTTCAATATCACTTTAAATGTAGGGGTTTTGGGGTTTTGGGGTTTTGGGG